AGACGATGCTTCTGACTGGTTGTCAGTAGCGCATGTGCTCTAAGTTATTTTTATGACCTGTCAACCAGATAGTAATTGAAATCTTGCTGTGTGACCTGTTCTGGGTGACATGGGAGCAGATCAAAGATGTGGAGGATATGCATTCTGCCCTCTGAAATCTCACAGTGTACTTCGGCAGACAGGTTATTGCAAGATACTACAGAATATCAAAGTGCGTTGTGCAGACACTTAGAGGAGAGTTCAGATTTTAAAAGACAGCAACCATGATCCACCCACAGTAAACACATAATAAGTTAGGAAAGAGAGATTCTTATTCCTTCCTTAGAGATGGCATTACCCTCTTTTATTTTCCTCATAGCTCTAAGTGTGCATTTAAATATTTATTTGCTCTTACTTACATTCTCGTCTGTCTCCCCACAAGAATGTAAGTTCCATGAGATTTCAGGTTCAGTATGAAAAGTGGACCTTCTAAACAAATGAAATACTTACTTTATAAATGACACCCAAATGCGAGGCTGTGTGTGCTTCAGAGAGCAGAGAGGACTTCCCTGGGGCGGTAACATTTGCTCTGTGCCAGGAGAAAATGCAAAGGATACATTTATAGAAGTAGAGCTGCTGCTGGGTCTAAGGGAATGCATGTTTCACATTTTGTTAGATCCTTTCAAGTTGCTACATTGTAGAGCAATGTCTAACTTGTCTTCCTGCCTTTCCACATTTATTGAGCACCTATTCTCTGCCAGAGACACTGTTCTAGAATTTGAAGAATGAGCTGGAGTTTGTTTGGCAGGGACAGGTGTGAAGAGGGATGATATTCCAGGCACAGGGAGCACCAGGAGCACAGGCATGGAGAGCTGGAATGACATGCAAGCAATTGTGTATTTTGGTGGGGAATGGCCAGACATAAAGAGGTAAAAGAATTTAGGGCCAGGTCCAGAATTAGGTGAGCTGAAGACAGGGCAGATCCCTCAGTGGAAGTAATACACATCAAATTTTGGAATGGCAAGACAAGAGAATCTAAGTTAAAGATGAGTAGGGACGTGAATCAATTTCCGTGGATTATCTCCTGCCTACGCTCTCTTACTTCTTTCCTGTGTGTCTAACTTGTCTTTCTGCCTTTCCACATTTATTGAGCACCTATTCTGTGCCAGACACTGTTCTAGGTGCTGAGGAGAACAAGGCAAAGTCCTGCTGTCATAGAGCTTGCATTCTAGTGGAGGAGACATACAATAAACAAAGAAAGTAGGAGAGGAATGAAGGAGGGAAGAAAGGAAAAAAGGAAGTCTAGAGGGTAATACAGGCATACCTTGAAGAGATGATGGGTTCTGTTCCAGATAACTACAAAAAAATGAATATCACAATAAAGTGAGTCACATGAATTTTTTGGTTTGCCAGTGCATATAAAAGTTATGTTTACACTATACGGTATTGTAGTCTATTAAGTGTGCAATAGCGTTATGACTAAAAAAAAAATCCTTAACTTAAAAAATATATTCTTGCTAAAAAATACTAACAGATGAGCACATGTTGTTGGAGAAATGGTGCCTGTAGACTTGCTCAATACAGGGTTGGTACTGTTATGCCCAGACCGTTTATTCCCCGAAGAAGACCACCAGAGTCCAGAGTCAAAGCTAAGCAGCAAGGATCTTTATTACAGGTTCGAACCTGGAACTCTCCCTCGCTCGTGAAACGAGACGGGCAGGAGAGCTCCCCCACTCAGCTCCGAACAATGTTATATAGTCTAAGAAAAGTGGGCATAGAGTTATTATACAAATCAGATATATGATTGGCTAGTGTTTGAACAAGGCGATTTGGCTAACTATGATTGGTTCCCGCCATTTCTGATATTTTGGTTCAAACTTTGAGGCGGGAGAGCAGGTTTATGGCAGCAAGAGTTTATCTTACTTAAACACGTCTTGTGACCTTGCCTCAGAACTTACAAAATCTCTGGTATGTGCAAAACAAAATCTCTGGTACGTGCAGAAAACCAGGTACTCACAGAACTTACGAAATCTCTGGTATGTGCAAAGATTAGAGAGCAGAACAAGGGTGTAGCGGGTGGGGGGCGGGTACACATCTATCTTTGTGTCCTTTCAGTACAAACCTTCAATTTGCAAAAAACACAGTTAACTGCAAAATGCATGAAAGCAAAGCACAGTAAAACGAGGTGTGCCTGCAAGTGCTATGATAGAAATAACTAAGTCGAGGAGAGTTTGGTGTGAGAGTTATATAACTGATGGCTGTGGTGGAGGGAACAGGCAACCTGGAGAGCAGATGCTGTACCCTCACCTCCTGCTGAAGTCCTGCCCTGCCCCATTTGCAGCAGCTGTCACTGATCACACAGGCTGATGGGATTTCTCTCCTCTCTGAACTCAGCTCACTCTGATTTTGTGGCACCTCTCTCCTTCTGGCTTCTATTTTTGTTGTTAATCTTCCCTGTTCAACTGCAAGTTCCTTGATATGGTTAGGCTTTGTGTCCCCACCCAAATCTCATCTTGATTTATAATCCCCATAATCCCCGTGTGTCAAGGGAGAGACCAGGTGGAGGTAATTGGATCATGGGGGTAGTTTCCCCCATGCTGTTCTCATGCTAGTGAGTGAGATCTCACGAGATCCGGTGGTTTTATAAGTATTTGGTAGTTCGTCCTGCATTCATTCTCCTTCCTGCTGCCTTGTGAAGAAAGTGCCTTGCTTCCCCTTCGCCTTCCACCATGATTGTAAGTTTTCTAAGGCCTCCCCAGTCATGCTGAACTGTGAGTCAATGAAACCTCTTTCCTTTATATATTATCCAATCTTGGGCAGTTCTTTATAGCACTGTGAAAATGGACTAATACCCTCCTTGAGGACAAGGGCTGAGTTTTTTCATGTTTAGATCCCACCCTGGAGTACAGTCCCTTGAAGCACATAACCCTTATTTTTAAAATGAATACCAGTGTTGAAAACTTAGCTAGTTACATTTTCTGTTTTTCTTTTCCCCTGTGTCTCAAAACATTTGCATGAAACATAGTCTCGGCTGCTGAGGAATCCTTTTGCTCCTGCTGAGTAGTTCCTGCCTGCATCTTTAATCCTACGGAGGTGATAGCCTTTGTTCCATTCAGGGCAAGATGAAGGGCCTCTAGTATCGTGCTCCTGACCTCATAATGAGAATTACCAGCAGGACTGGATGGATTCCTAAGGAATGTGAGCCTGCTCTCTTGTAAATGTTTTTAATAATAAATGATAAGAAAGGCAAAAGCACAATGTTTTTATTTCTTTATTATGGAAAGTCCTTGTAGATGTTCAGTGCCCAAATCTAAACTAAAAAAGAAAAGCATCATTTTGGGCCTTTGGTTTCATATCATGAAGTAATTTGTTTGGAGTGAGATAATGCTTCCTTTGGGATCAGAGGAGTTTCTGGAAATTATGAATGCACCTTGTTTTTTGGCTTAATTGCAGAAAGTTTTGATAAGGGTGATTGTATTAGCAAGAGCTTTCCAGAGACATAGAAATAATAGGCAATATAACTCTGTCTCTGTGTCTAATCTCTGTCTCTAGTATCTTCATCTCCATCTCTTGATCTGTCCCTCTATTATAAGGAATTGGCTCATGTGGTTATGGAGGTGGAGAAGTTCAAAGATCTACAGCTTGCAAGCTGGAAACCCAGGATAACCTGGGTTCCAGTTTGAGTCTGAAGGCCTGAGAACCAGTAGAGTCAATGGTGTAAGTTCTAGTCTGAGTCTGAGTCTGAAGTCAGGAGAAGACAAATATCCCTGCTGGGAGACAGGAATAGAGACAAAAATTCTCTCTTCCTTCAACTTTGTTCCATTCAGGCCTCCAACAAACTGGGTAAGGCCCATCCACACCGGGGAAGGCAGTCTGCTTTACTCCGTCTACCAGTTTAAATGTCAATCTCATCCAGAAACACCCTCACAGACACATCCAGAATAATGCCAAACCAAATATCTGGGCACCCTCTGGCCTAGTCAAGTCGACACATTAAAATTAGCCATCACAATGATGTTAGATTGTGACCGGTGGGTTTAAGTGGGAAATGGATTTTGATTAGAAATGTGAATTAGCTTTGTCCTGAAAACCTTCAGAAAATCGTAACTTTAGGTCCTTGTAGGAGAAGTCACCTTTTGATAGGTGGCAGGAACGTGGCAGGAAAAGCTCTTTAGTATCAGATTCTAAAAATATAAACTGTTAGCACCAGAAGGAGAATTAGTGAGCCAGCCTCTTCATCATATACTGATAGAAGTGAGAGCCAGAGCCGTGAAGGACTTACAGTCAGGCAGTGGTTCCGACATGTTTACAACCTAGGTCTTTTGATTTGTTTACATTCCTCTATGTTGTTGAAATGTGATGAGTGAAGGAGCTTGTTGACTGTAAAATATTACACATATATGAGCTACTATCATCCCATCATCTCATTGTGCTGTCTCTTATCCTAACTTACTATTAGTGTGACATTGACCTAGTCATTTGATCTCCCTGGGCTTTAGCTTACTTACTCTTCCATAGCTCATTTTCAAGATAATAGAGATAGTGGTTGAAAGAACCTTAGAATTCACCAAAATCCTCGTCCTTTGCTTCCATTGACTCTCCTTTTGTGTCACCTCTTGCCTCTTTCTGCCCATCCTATTTCCTGACCTACTGGCTGAACTGAAAGCACAATTCCCCAAATACCCCAGGTTCTTTTTTTTTTTGTCTGAGATCATCTGCACATGATGTGCCCCCTGCTCTCTTTACCCTGATAAATCCTATTATTTTTAAGGCTTAATTTGAGCATCAACTTCTGAAGATTTTCTTGGATGCTGTCTTATAAGCTTCCCCAGCACCCAATGCCTCCTGCTATCACAGTGTTTATTGCACTGTATTGTAACTGTCTACTAAGATCTCTCTTTTTCCAGGCTGTGAGCTCCTCAACTCTGAAGAGGCTCAATAGATGTTTGTTTAATGATATGTAGATAGATTGCTGATTAGTTATTTCCAAGAGATGACACTGTCTTTCCTTTCACAGCTCCTGGAAAGCCCCTGAGTGCTACTTTCCTAATGGAAAGAGCTCAGAGGGAATGGCTTCTGAGCCTTCACCACCAAGGACAGCATGAAACTAGCCACTTGCCACCTGGCTATACCTAATATGCTAAACCACATATGAAGAAGGGAGCTCCAGAAAGATATATTGCAAGCCCCCAAGAAGGTATGACTCCTTGTGAGTTTGCAAGATCTAGCATACACAGGCAGGCTCTTTATTCTGGGGAGGTAGGTGTGAGGTTTTTCTCTGCTACTGGAGTATGGGAAGAGGTAAGCCATTCTCTAAATCTCAGACGTTTTTCTCTCTGAGTTTGTGGAGTGGTTTCTAATGTAAGTGCTAACTTACACTGCTGCTAATTGCTGCTGATTGCTGGTAAATTGCTGGCAATAGCAACTGGCTGTCCTGGCAGCAGCAATGGCATATCCCAAGATAGCAGAAGCAGGGATGGAAAGCTGTAAGTGGTGCTGGGATGCCTGGATGAGAAGCCCAGATTGCCAAGGCAGCCTAACAAGCCACTTGGCAAGGGGAGCCCAGAAGGAAAACCTCACTTGGAAACCCAAGGCCACTAAGAGGTAGGGAAACAGAGAGCATGATTCCAGCAGACACTGGGACTCTGCTGCATTAATCTTCTTGTTAAAAGTTGAATGGATGCCACTAACCTTGAGGAAAGTTGCTTCTTAGTAGCTCAGTGTGTCAGAATTCTGAAGAAATACAAGATAAAATAAGGGGAGTAATATCAAATGGAAATAAGGAAATTCAAGATTTTGGTAAACTGATAAAAATTAGTGAAGGGCATGCATGCTGACATGTAACAGAAGATTATTCCAGAATGTTAGGATTACCTAATAATTATTGGCCCATCCTTCTTCTCTCCAGCACACTTTTAAGGGAGAACTTTCTTCTTCACTTCTGATTTTCCTCTTCTCCTGGGCTGGTGTGAAAATATGTACAGAAGAAGTCCTTTCCATGTATGATTGATTGATTTATTGAACAAACGTTTATTGAGCCCAGTGACTGCACTATCCTAGGCTTTAGGCCTATAACATGATATTAGATGGAATTTAACTTGTTTCAGGCTTTTTCTGCTCTTTCCTTACTCCTTTGACAGTTTAATGCAGCTATCAACCCTGCCTGGATGCTCCTTCCTTTTCTTTTTTAGGTTGGGATGGATGGGGGTGGGACAGGTGGGACTACCTGTCCCTGAGGCAGACAGATGATGTTCCAGAGGGAGACTAGGGCACTTTCTTGGTAATTTATAGGTCATCAACAGACATAAAGGGAAAGGAAGTGCCACTTGAAGTTACTGTGTCAGCTGAGGACTCAAGCATATGAACATGTGATGTACCATTCCCTACTCATTGGAACACCTATAGGTATTTTTAAACCCGTTTGACACATGAAGCATATTAGGGAATTTGCCCAATATCATATATCCAGTAACTGGGAGAACTGAGATTTGAACTAAGATTAGTTTGAATCTGAATGTCATATTCTTTTGGCTGCAGCCTTTACATCCCTCATTCAAGGCAGTAAAAGATGGGAGTAGCACCATACTTATCTGTCCCTTTTATGAGAAAAGAAAAAACTACCTTGGACAACCCCAGCAGACTTCCGCTTGTTTCCCACTGACCAGAATTGTATTACGAGGACCCCTTAGGCGACCCTCTTATATGGCTCCTTATATCCCCTCCACCAGCTGCAAGGAAAGCTGGGAAGGCAAGTGTTTGGCGTTTCTATCCCATATAGTGAAAAGTGACAAGGGAGTAGGGAGTTGAGACAATCAACAGAGGCTGACTTCTTTTTACTACAACTTTTGTGCCACATTCTTTCATTAGATAACTTTGCACATTTTATATGATTTTAATCAATTAATGCAAGACTCCTCACTTTCTGGGTTTTGAAGGTGACAGCATATCTCTGATTTATTATGTATTGATTTTACAGTTCAATTCTGAATATATTTTAATTTTTCCTGTCTCTGAGTTTATGAGGGACACTTATTCAGAAAGCCCATAGGGGCTAACAATAATGCCTGTGGTGCCAGGATCAGAGATCAAGAGTGGAAAGTCCTGAACATATTCTCTGTCACATAGCAAGCATTCAGCAAATAGTTACTGCTATGGTTTAAATGTCCCCTCCAAAACTCATGTTGAAATTTAATTGTCATTGTAACAGTATTAAGAGGTGAGACCATTAACAGCCAATTAGGTCATGATGGCTCCATCCTGATTAGTGGATTAATAGCAATTATAAAGGGGCATGAGGCTGCAAGTTCTATCTCTTGCTCCCTCTTGCCCTCTTTGCCCTTCCACTGTGTGATGCCTCCTGCCATGTTATGATGCAGCAAGAAGACCTCGCCAGATGTCAGCACCATGTTATTGGACTTCCCCGCCTCTAGAATAATAAGAAATACATTTCTACTGCTTGTAAATTACCCAGTCTGTGGTATTCTGTTATAGCAGCACAAAATGGACTAAGATAGTGACTACTATAATTAGTCATCCTTTTTACCTTTGGAAGAGACTTGGATGATAGAGGAAGATCTCAGAGGGAAGTGACTGGCTCTGCAGGTAGTGTTGACAAGTAGGGTTTGGATGTGTGAACCCTAGTTTAAGACACCAGGATGATGCATTTTTGCCTGAGAGTAGAGAGTGGATGGAGGGGTGAATTTCATTTGCTCAGAAGCTAGCTAACAGCTTTAAACTGAATAGGGAAAGGAAAAGAACAGAAAACTACAGAGAAATCAGTGAAATCAGTTCTATAGAAAATGGAAATTGTGAGTTCTATAGAGAAGGGTAAAGTTGTGGAAATTTGTAGTGTGTCACAGGAGAAACAATAGGGGAGGAATCTGGAAATTATAACACTGCATTGTCCTTTCATTGGCTGACCTCATTGTACTACAATTGTGTCGTATTTACATTTATCTTGCCTTATAAACACAACCTGAGATAAGACAAGCACCATCCTAACTTTCTTAAAGGGGATGGAAGTAGATTCCAGACCTAGAGATGACATCAAGTCGAGATGATGGCTTAGGGGAAGGGATATTCTCAGGTGACTATGTGAGGGGTCTATGGAAAACAATAATAGTATCCCTTAAATGACATTTACTATGTTGTGGGCACTATTTTAAGTACTTCACCGAGATTATTTCATTTAATTTTCATAACAGCCCTAGGTGGTAGCTAGCATTCTTATCTTCATTTTATGACTGAGAAAACTGAAACATATGGAGGTTAAGTGACTTGACTTATGTCACACAGCTCATAGAGGTTTAAACCCAGCTGACTTGCCCTGGATGCCAGGCCAGTTCGCTGTGTCTATGCAGATAAATGCTGTTGGCTTAAACTCATTTCTTTCTTTGATCAGAATTACTAGGTGGCAATTAGGGGCAATGTGGTTACAATGTGTATTTGCTTTTGACAATATTCAATTCTATTGTAAAAGACGAATATGTTTATAAACCATAGGTGACACATCTTACGGGATGTTAGACATAGATTAGCAGTCAGTCGGTAGAGCATGTGTGGGCTAAACCGAGATAAGAAGGGCTAAAAAGACCAAAAGATCCCTAATATTCATGAGGCTACAGACTCTAAATATTCATTATACACTACATATGTGTGACATATGAGATTCTAAATATAAAAAAGCACATGTATTCAGGTTACATTTGATGAACACTTAATATTCATGAGGTCCTAATTCTTAGCACCCATTCTGCCCATGTGCCATTTGCCCAAGAAACACAAATAAACCTAGGTTGGTTCATCAGCTAAATGGTGAGCAGCAGCTGAATCTCTTTAATGCAGCCAATTGTGTGTCATTGGCCCAGGGAAACTTCCATCCATGAGTCCTCCTGCTCAGATCTCCATTCTAGTCCTTGTAACCATGCCATCAGTAGGAAAGGCTAATGATGTATATGTGGGGTGTGTGTGTGTGTGTGTGTGTGTGTGAGAGAGAGAGAGAGAGAGAGAGAGAGGAGAGAGAGAGAGAGAGACAACAAATGAACACTGCTAACCTCCAGGATTCAAGCAGTAAGGTCATCCTATCCTCTCTAATACCCATCCCTGAGTGTGTTAACTTATTGTGGTCTCTTTCCCCTTCTTTCTCACTGTGTGTTATAAATTAATTTTCATAAACAATCCCATGATATCCTGGTAGTATATTTGGAGCCTATAATACATCCAGATAATTTCCCACATGACAGTGGTAGACACAGGCTGTTGGGACCTCAGCAAGGCCCTGCCCAATCATGCCTAAGATTCTGGTGGGCACAGATAAGCTGGGAGGTACTACAAAGAGTGGAACTCCTGGTCTGCTGCTGGTGGCAATATTAGAAGGCCAGTGCCACAAGAAGCGGGTTTCTGGTAATGCTCCATCTTGTTGGTCTGTTCTGGTGATAAGTGAAGACACACAAGCTAAGTTAAATGTAAACATGAGGAAACTATTGAAAGGTTTTCATGTTGGAGAGGAGTTTCATCTTTTCTCATTCCGTGAGTTGAGCTGGGAAAATCAATTTCATTTTGGGGCAGATTATGGGATGTGAGGGGGTGGCAAAGTGTTGGGCCTGGGCCAGAGAATGTAATGGGGTTGGGAACTTGGAGGCACAGAGTAGAAACTATGGGGAAGCTGGAGGCAGAGCAGCCAAGTCTACAGAACTGAGTGAGCTCAGGCAGGGAAGAGTGAGAACAAGGCCCAACACCGGGTGTGTTATGGCAGGAGGGAGGTAAGAAATCAGGTCCCAGGTGAAGAGTGCCACAGAGCAAGAGGTGAACAAAATGTGGGGCACCCCAGTTGAGGGGGCTAGTGGTTTTCCTGGAAAATATGAAGGAAGCCACTATCACCCAGATTCCTGGAAACCAAATCTCTTCAATCTGAGGGTTTGTTTTGCCAGTGATAAGCCAACCTGGCTCACTACAAATTATCAGCAGGTCCAGCGGAGTGTGGACACACTCAAGGCTGGCCCAGCAATCACTTGAGATCCTGTCCTTACTATTTCTAATGAGTTCTTATTCTATTCCCTTCAAACTCTGAATCATTGTGATGTGAGCCTTTGGATGGGGACTTTGAAATCTAGTTTTCTCTAAAGAAGTTTTCATAGTTTTTTGACCTTGACTCAGGAAGAAACACATTTTACATCACAATCCAGTATACATATACCAATGTATGCCTATGTATAACATTGAAACAAGAATTTCATGAAATTTACCTTTACTGCATTTGATGAACTCTAATTAGTCCATTACTTTTCACTTTAAAAATGCTAATCACAACACACTAAATTGATATGCATCCCACTAATCAGTTGTCTTGATCCATTTTATGCTGTTGTAACAGAATATCACAGACTGGTATGTTGTGGTATTCCACAGGAACAAAAAAAAGTACATGATTTATGGTTCTGGAGGCTGGGAAGTCCAAGATCGAGGGGCTACATCTGGCCTTTGTACTGTGTTGTAACATGGCAGAAGACATTACATGGTGAGAGAATGTGTGAGAGGACAAAAAGGGGCCAAACTCACTTTTTAAACAAACCCACTCCTGCAATAATGACATAAATCCATACTAATCCTATTTATTTGGATATTTCAATTCTCCTTCCACAAATGAAGAAAACAAGGATCAAAGAAGTTACATGGTTCATCAATAGTTACAGAGGTAAGTAGTGCGATAATTGGAACTTAAACCAGGACTGTTTGACTGTAGCTTCAGGACAAGGTGCTTTTGGTCCTGATGAGATTCCCACCCACAAACCTCTCCTATACAGCAATTCTGGAACTTGAATTACTTTTTCATTTCCCTTCACGAAGTCCAAGCCCTCTCTTTGCTATATATTTGTGGAAGCTAAAACAATTCCATCTTGGTTGCTAACCCACCTGATTAACCCTGATTAACCCTGTTCTAGGAAGCCCTCTAAGATTTCTGGTTTATCTATTGTCCCTTGTGTAAGAGCACATACTTGCCACGAATCCTGTCCTTAAGTCTAAACAACCTTGAGATTATCATACTTCAGTTGTCCGACACATCCCTTCTGAATCATATGCACCCTTTCCCTGTGGTATATAAGCTCTGTGTCTGGGAGGTAATGGCACTGGAATCCATCCTCTTGCCGGGCGCAGTGGCTCACACCTGTAATCCTAGCACTTTGGGAGGCTGAGGCAGGGGGATCACCTGAGGTCAGGAGTTCGAGATCAGACTGACCAATATGGTGAAACCCCATCTCTACTAAAAATACAAAATTAGCTGGGCATAGTGGCACATGCCTATAATCCCAGCTACTTGGGAGGCTGAGGCAACAGAATCGCTTGAACCTGGGAGGTGGAGGTTGCAGTGAGCTGAAATCATGCCATTGCACTCCAGCCTGGGCAACAGGTGTGAAACTCAGTCTCAAAAAAAACAAAAACAAAAACAAAAAACAAAAACAACAAAAAACAAACCACCCTCTTGTCTTGCGACTGCTGAAGACACAGACAGGGCTTCTGTTTGTAAGTCCTTATTAAAAGTTTCTTTTGGAGAAACTGGACTTACCAGCTTCTTTCTTTAGCCTCTCAGTTTTCTTGGACTTTGGGGGTAGGTTTGCATATGTCTATCCTCCATGGACAGTGTGCCATTGAAATAAAGATTTAATGTCACAAACTTCCTTGTCTTGTACAGGTATGTCTGGTGGCTGTCCTCAGCCCCAGAGACTGAGGTATATATAACAGTATATATAACTTCATCTTAATCCTCACAAGCGTTTCTAAGCAACGTTTTGACTGATACAAGAGCTGACATTGCAGAAGCAGCTGTTCATTCTGTTGTCTCCAATGACATGTGACAGTCTTCCTCCTTAATTAGGAACAGGATGTATGTATGATTTATATCCCCAAGTAATGCCTCTCTAACAGGTGAAATCTCAATAGTCAATATTTGAAATATTCCTTTATAAAGCCTAAAGTTAATACAACAGAATGTGAATGACAACATGGCAGATACACCAGTCTGTGGTAAAACTCCGTATTTTTCTGTATCTTCACTATGTATGAAGTAAATGTGGCAATACATATAGAGGCTAAGGATTATAGAATTTTAAAGCTTCAATTTGTTTAATTTTGGGGTTAATGTCCTTGTGCTTGGAGGAAATTTTGAAATGGGTTGGGGGTAGTTTTATTGCGGCCTGGGACATGAATCATGTATAAATAAGTGGACAGGATACTAGAATTATTTCAAAGAATAGAAGCTTGGTCATTTAAAACACATTACATTTTTTCTAATTATACAATGAATATCCATTTATTATAGATAATTTTGAAACAAAAAATGTGTGAAGAAAAAACCCTACTCTCAATACCCCAAATCAAGTACTGTTAACAGTTTTGGTATATTTCCTACCAGTCTTTTTTCAACATGTTGCTACATAAACATGTGCTCATTTTTACAAAATTGGGATCAAATGAATTATGCTGAAATTGAAAATATAGTTTTATAATCTTTGCTTTTTTGTTACTTATGCTTGTGTCCAGAAATTTCCTCATTCCACTAAATATTCTTTGAAAATGTATATTTTAAAATTTATTCCTTTCCTGAACATTCTGGTTTATTTTTAGAATTAAGTGTATGATTAAATATTCCTATGTTTTTATATGCCAAATTGTTAAATCCCTGCATACAAGCAAAGTGATGCAAAAAGGAGGAAAACTTATTGAAGACATGGCTAGTTTATGTAAAATCGACTTAACGTTAACATTACCTGTTGACAATACTTTAGCATTAACTTCCCTGTACGGTGCTTTACTCATCTGTAAAATGGAGGTGACACACTGCTTTGTTTTTGTTTGTTTTAGATGGAGTCTCACTCTTTCGTCAGGTTGGAGTGCAGTGGCGCCATCTCGGCTCACTGCAACCTCCGCCTCCTAAGTTCAAGCCATTCTCCTGCCTCAGCCTCCCGAGTAGCTGAGATTACAGTGTGCACCACCATACCCAGCTAATTTTTGTATTTTTAGTAGAGACAGGGTTTCAGCATCTTGGCCAGGATGGTCTCGATCTCCTGACTTCATGATCTGCCCACCTCAGCCTCCCAAAGCACAGGGATTACAGGTGCGAGAACATAGGTAATTGTTTACTTGTATTTGGTTTACACAGTACACTCCTCCAAACACCCCCCTTTCTGTGCTCTGATTGGAATGCTATCCATGTCCTGGCAGTGATCGATGTTAGCTGATGGTGCTGATCCACTGAATAATTGTTGTCAACTTCAGAAGGAATGCCTTTTATTAATGCCATTGCTTGACTAATAGATTTCCCTTTAAATGCCAAGTATCCATAATAAAATATTTCAATAAGACTTTGTTAGTTACTTTTTTTTAAAAAAAAGGTTATTTCGTAAAGAAAGGAGTTTGAAAGGACAAATACTCCTACCATTTCCTGTATTACTATTCACTTCTTAACTCAGCGAAGCAAGTGTCAGGAAGGCACCTGGGGCTGGGCTTGGGGCTGCTCTGGGCTCCAAGGATGCTGTCTGTGGTGGCTGCCCTTTAATTGTTCACTGTGACTGGAACTTTTGGTTGTTCTGCTTCTATTTAATATTTCCCATAAAGATTTGATTTTTTTCTCTGTGTTGTATTAATTATTAAACTAATTTTGTAACAGTGATTTTCAAACCATGATCCACAGACCTGAAGGGTGAGGTTTCTCAAGTGACCTGGAAACTTGACAAATATGCTGGCTCTAGATCTTAAATCTAGAGATTTTGACTTGGTAAATGTGTGACAGCACCCACATTTTAAGGACCACTTTCCTGGTGTCTTAGTGCATTTGGGCTCCTATAACAGAATACCATAAACTGAGTGGCTTATAAATAGCAGAAATTTATTTTTCACAGTTCTGAAGGCTGGGATATCTATGATCAAGGTGCATTTTCAGTGTCTGGGGAGGGCCTGCTCTGGTTCATAGATGGCTGTCATCTCGCTTTAACTTCATGTGGTGGAAGAGGTGAGAGAGCTCTCTGGGATCTCTTTATCATAAGGGCACTAATCCCACTGACAAGGGCTCTACCCTCATGCCCTACTCAACCCCCGAAAGCCCCACCTCCAAATAGCGTCACATTGTGTGATTAGGTTTCAACTTATGAATTTGGGGGAAATACAACTGTTTAGCCTATAGCACATGGGGAGGGGCCTGGATAGTGGTAGGCTTATGGGTGGGCTTTAACAACCCCTTTCTCTATTCTATTAGAATAGAATTTTTTTTAAGTCTGAAAATAGCCATTCTAAAGAATGCTCTGTGTATTCCACCCTAACATAAGCTTCAGAAAAGCACTGACTTTCAGAAGCTTACAGAGAACCAGGGGCTTATAAGAGGTGACTCTATAACACAAGGTGGCCACCAGCTACTGCGTTGCTGGAAAGGGTAAAATGCTTTGTTCACTACTACCTTCCTCTTGTCCTTTCCCACCTCTGAGATTGACTCTGCAGTCTATGAGTCAGTTTAGCGCTTAGAGTGACGCTAGTGGATGTTTTTATGAAAAAATGAGAAAAGGGACTGGGTGCAGGGTGCAGTGGCTCACGCCTGTAATCCCAGTGCTTTGGGAGACTGAGACAGGAGGATTGCTGGAGACCAGGAGTTCGAGACCAGCCTGGGCAACATGGTGAAACCCCGTCACTGCAAAATATGCAAAAATTAGCCATGTATGATGGCATGCACCTGTAGTCCTCACTACTTGTAGTCCCAGCTACTGAGGCAGGCTCATCACTTGAGCTCAGGAGTTTGAAATTACCTTGAGCTATGATTGTGCCACCTGGGCAACTATGATTGTTACCAGCCTGGGCAACAGAGCGAGACCGTGTCTTAAAACAAAACAAAACAAAAATGGTGTGTGTGGGGGAGAGAGAGAGAGAGAGGGCAGAAAGATTTTCAATAGCATACAAATATGATAGTAATGTGCTTCACAATTTTTGGTGTGGAGGAGTCGTATGGATCATTCCTCACGTGAATATGTTGCTTCTTCCAAGTGGGTTGTTGAAAACAAGAATAATAAGTTATTTAAAACAATGTTGAATTAGGGGGTCAATAATTATGTTTTAAATACCTCAACATATACATGTTATATATGTACATGCATTTGAATTGTTTGGACTCCACTCAAATTTGGGCAGTCATTCGCCCCAAGTAAAATGTGTGTTTCCAGGGATGGTTAGTTTATATTTAACCAGACAACATACTCTACAGACATTTTTATTTTATCTTATTATTTTTAATTTTTTTCATTGAAAAGAAAAATGGTATATGTTTACTATGTATAACATGATATTTTGACATATGTAGATATTGTAGAATGGCTAAATTATGCTAATTAACATATGTATTACCTTACGTAACACTTTATGTAGTCAGAACACTTAAAATCTACTTTCAGAAATTGCCACGTAAACAATATTCATGTTGTTAACTGTAGTCATCATCGTGTACAACAGATCTCTTGAACTTACTTCTGGGACCAGACATTTTGTTAACATTGTAAATGAGGTAATAATTAGTGGTTTGCTATTTTGTACAATGGCTTTTAGAAATTGTTTATCTTTCCCTAAAATTATTGGTGTTTAAGATATATGGACTGACCAAAATATTTTATGGATGCTTTCCCACTCTGCACAAAAGAGAGTAAGAAGCTAGGAAGCCCATCTCCCTTTACATATGGCGTTGGTGCTTGAGATTTGAATACGACATGCTCTTAAATTCCCACATTTAGAAGATTCTGGTCACTTGATACTGACTGAGAGGTTAACCAAATTTTGCTTCTGGAATTCACGTTTTTATTGATATTTTAAAAATTGCAAGGTATAGTCGGAACACTTAAAAAGACGGAGCCTAGGACTTCTTCCAGCTAAAAAACAATCGCTTTGTGCTAGCTGCTAATAAATGCTTATATTTGTGGCAAAATTTAATCTGAGACTTGTTTTATCTGTAACTTGCCACAAATATAAGCATTTACTAGCAAGCTAGTGCAAATGGACTTTCATATAACAATATTTATGATGTCAGGATTAGAATTCAACAAGTTTTTAAATATTGAAACAAACTATTCAACAAGAAAGCTTGTCTTTGCCTTAAAAAGAAACCCAATTTCCTGATGCTACATATCAGAATAAATACAGATTAAACTTGAATTTTATGATAATTAGTATATTATTCACCTGCCAATATAATGACTAAGTGGTGCTTTGTCTTTTTAAAACACCTGTGCCAATCGTCTTTCTATTTCTTTAAATATTCTTCATGAAGTAGCTAAAGGAGAAGCATTTCTTCTTCTGGGAAGATGGAGTTGACATACTTTTCCCTATTCTTTCTGCTAAATACAACTGAAAAACCCTAGACAGTGTTCATAAAATTAACATAAGAAGATTCTGAAATATGGAAGAAGAAGGCAGATCAGTTAGAGATCTCAGAACCCAAGAAACAACATAGCGGTGGGTTCTTTGGATTTTTTTTTTGGCCTAAGTCTCAGACTTTAACAAGCTGGCAACCTGGAAACACCATGTGCACATGCGTGCACTCTCTCTCTCTCTCTCTCTGACACACACACACACACACACACACACACGCCCCAACACACAAAACTGCTTTCTTTAGCCAAAGGACCAGGAACAGGGCATCTTAGCAAGACAAAAAACTTTTAGGAAACTACTCTATTCCAGTTAAACACCACAGAAAAACTATGACAAAGACTCTCATCCTCACCAGATTGTAACAAGGAGAACTTCACCTGGGCAGGTGTCAGAAGAAACCTAGAAGACAGTCAGGACTTTCATCACCCTCAGTGGTGATGAGACCACATCTCTGAACCCCATGGTGTCAGTAGAGGTATATATTATGAATATATAATGTAAAACCTAATCAACCACTAAAAAAACTATACAAAAAGATACATTTAACTATATACACACAGACACACACACACACACACAGATAATATATATATAGATACATCTAAATGGAATTCTAAAAAATGTTCAAGTAACCCACAGGAAAATGGGAAAAAGAAAGAGAAATGAAAAACTGAAATGAAAACAAAAAATAAAATGGCAGACTTAAACCATAACATATCAATAATTGCATTAAATGTAAATCATTTAAATATACCAACTAAAAGACAGAGATTGGCAGAGTATATTAAGAAACAACCCAACTATATGCTGTCTATAAGAAATACACCTCACATATAATATAGAAAGGTTGAAAGTAAAAAGATGGAAAAAGATAATGTCATGCAAATGTTAACCAACATAAATCAGGAGTGGCTATATTAAGAGCATATAAAGTAGATTTCAGAGCAAAGAAAATTACAGACAAGGAACATTACATAATAACAAAAGGTCAATCTACCAAGAAAAGATAGTAATCCTGAAGGTGTAGACACCAAGCAACAGAACTGCAAAATATGTGAAGTGAAAACTGATAGAACTGAAAAGAGAAATAGACAAATTCATAGTTATAGTTGAAGATTTCAATATTTCTCTATTAACATTGATAGAACAACTAGACAAAAAATTAGCAAGGACATAGAAGAACTCAACAGTATCATTGGCCAACAGAATCTAATTGATATTTACAGAAAGCTCCACCCAACCACAGGAGTACACACATTTTTTTAAATGCATCTGAAACATATACCAAGATAGACCATATGCTAGGCCATAAAACGAACTTACAAATTTAAAAGAATAGAACTTCTATAGTATGTGTTCTCTGACCACAATAAAATTAAACCAGAAATCACCAAAAGAAAGACAACAGCAAAATCTCTAAACACTTGGAAACTAAATAACACACTTCTAAATAATCCATGGGTCAAATATTATATTGAAGTAAAACAATTGAACTGCATGAAAATTAATGTACAATGTATAAAAATTTGTGGGACATAAAAAATTAGTGTTGAGAGGGAAATTTATAGCACTAAATGCTTTCATTAGAAAAGAGAAAAAGTCTGAAATCAGTAATCTAAGCTATCACCTCAAGGATCTAGAAAATGAAGAGCAAAATAAATCCAAAACAAACAAAATAGAATAAATAATAAAGAGCAGAAATCAATGAAATTAAAAATAAAAATAGAGAAAACCAATTGAACAAAAAGAAAGTTTTTTGAAAAGCTCAACAAAATTGACAAATTTCTAGCAACTGTGATGAAGAAAAAAACAGATAATATGCAAATTACCAACATAAGGAATGAAACAGGGGATACCACTAAAGACCCTGCAGGTATCAAATAGATAATAAGGGAATATTATGAGCAACTCTGCATGATTTGACAATTTAGATTAAATGGATCGATTCCTTGAAAAACACAAACTACCATAACTCACCCAAATTAAATAGACAATTTGAGTATCCCTGTAATTATTCAGGAATTCAAATTCATTTAAAAAGTCCTAAGTAAATCTCCAGACTTAGAAATTTTCATCAGAGACTACTAACAAGTGTTTAAAGAAGAACTAACACCACTTTACACAATCTTTTCAAGAAAATAGAAGAGAAGGGAACACTTCTAACATTTTATGAAAAACCAATATTGCTTTGATACCAAAACCAGATAAAGACAGTACAAAAAAGAAAAAACTGCAGATGAATACAACATCCCTTGTGGATATAGACACAAAAATCTTAACAAAGTATTGGCAAATATAATTTGGAATTCTATAAAAAGAATTATCATACTCTATGACCAAATAAGGTCTATTTCAAGAATGCGTACCTGGTTCAACATTTGAAAGTCAAACAATGTAATCCACCATAGAATCAGGCTAAAGAAGAAAAATCACAGAATCATATCAATCAATGCAAAATGTTTTTTGAAAAAATTCAGCACCCATTTTTTGTTCAAAAAATCTCTCAGAAAAATAAGAATAAAGAACTTCAACTTGATAAAGTAAATTGACCAAAATCCTAAAGTTAATATCATGCTTAATGGTAAAAGACTACAAGCCTCCCTTTAAAAATGGGAACAAGGCAAAGATATCTGCTCTAACCACTTATTTAGCATAGTGTTGGAAGTTCTAGCTGGTGCAACAAAGCAAGAAAAAGAAATAATAGACACACATACTGGAAATGAGGAAATATGTCTGTCCCTATTTGCAGATGACATGAAAGTTTATGTGGAAAATCCCAATGAACCTACGTAAGAAGCAGGAGGGGGAGGAGAAGGAGAAGAAGAAGGAGGAGGAGGAGGAGGAGGAAGAGGAGGAGGAGGAGGAGGCCTCAACTCATAGAACAGAACAATTAATTGAATTCAGCAAGGTCACAGGATACAAGATCAACATAGAAAAGTTAATTATTTTTCTATATATTAGTAATGAACACTAAAAGTATGCTGAAATTAAAAGAAAAATGTCATTTACAACTGCTCAAATAAAAAATAGCATAAATATAACAAAACATAAACAGGACTTTATTCCACAAACTACAAACAAAACACTGATAAATCAAAGCTCAAAATAAATGGACATATCATGTTCATGAATTAGAAAATTCAGCATGGAAAGCATGTCAATCTTCTCCAATTTGCTGTGCATGTTTAATGCAGTTCCTATCAAAATCCTTACAAGACTTTTCATAAAATATATAGACAAGATTATTCTAAACTTTATATGGAAAGACAAAGGAACTAGAATAGCTGAAACAATTTTGAAAAAGAAGAATAAGGTGAAAGAAATCGCTATCCAACTTCAAGGCTAATTATGTAACAACAGTAATCAAGATTGCTTGGTATTCATGGAGGAACAGAAGGGGAGGAGTAGACCCATAGGTCAATGGAACAGAATAGAAGACCCAGAAAAAGATGCATTCAAATATGCCCAACTGGTTTTGACCAAGGTACCACAGCAATTCAATGCAGGGAGAATACACTTTATGAAAAAAGGTAAAATTAACCCCATCTAAACCTCATAGCTTATACAAAATTTAACTCAAAATGGATTGTGAACTTAAATGTAAAATGCAAAACTATAAAACTTATAGAAAACTTATAGAAAAAAACACAGGATAAGATTTTTATAGAAAAAACACAGGATAAGATTTTCAGAATCTAGGGGTAGGCCAAGTGTTCTTAGGCTGGACACCAAAGCATGGTCCATACAATGAAAATTGATATATTGCACTTGATTAAAATGTGAAACTTCTGTTCTGTGAAAGACCCTGTTAAGCCAATAACAGAAAAGCTACAGACTGAGAGAATATATTTGCAAGCCATATATCCAACAAAACACTAGTATTAGAATAAATAAACAACTGTCAAAACTCAATAGCATAATAAAAGAACAAATAATCTTACTAGAAAGTAGTCAAAAGACATGAAAAGACATTTCTCTGAAGTGATATACAGATGGAAAATAAATGCATAAAAATGTGTTCAACGTCATTAGGTATTAGGGAAATGCAAATTAAAGCCAAAATGAGATACTGCTACACACCTATCACAATGGCTAAAATAAAAAATAGTGACAATACCAGATGCTGGAGAAGATGAAAAGAACCGGATTCTATTGCTGGTGAAAATGTAAGCTGGTACAGAACCTATGGAAAAGTTTGGCAGTTTCTTAAACATGCAATTACCTATGACCCAGCAATTGTACACTTGGGCATTTACCCCAGAGAAATGAAAACTTCTTAATGTTTGTGCATAGCAGCTTTACTCATAATATCCCCAAATTGGAAATAATAAAAAATGTCTTTCAATGGGTGAGCAGTTAAACAAACTGTGGTATATCCATACTATTACACAGTAAAAAAGAACAAATTACTGGTACAGGCAGCAACTTGGATAAATGTCCAGTGAATTATTGTGAGTGGAAAAAAAATCCAAAGGATTACATACTGTGTGATTCTATTTATATACATTTTTGAAATGCGAGAATTATAGAACTGGAGAACTGATGTGTGGTTGCCAGGGGTAAATGAGGCAGAGGTGGGAGGGGCTGTGGGAGGGGCTAAGGGAGGGTACAAGGGAGAAAGAAGTGGATGTGATTGTAAGAGGGCAACATGAGCGATCCTTGTAGTGAAGACGTTATCTTGACCCTGTCAGTGTCAATATTCTGGTTATGATATTGCACCATGGTTTTGCATGATGTTACTATTGGGGGACACTGGGTAGAGGGTATGTGGGATTATTCTCTATTATTTCTTACTGCTTCATGTGAATCTATAGTTATCTCAAAATTAAGAAAAAAATAGCTAAGGAAGAATCATTGCCTCTGATTTCAGTTACCTTTTCTAGCCAAGGGTCATTTAGAAAACATGGGTTTATGGCATTCCATTTCCAGGTATCTGTGATGTCTATCTATGCAATGATTAAATTACCTTTTATAAATATCAATACCATCAATACCTTCCATGACTGACCAATCTTTGTGATTGACATGGCTTTTTAAGACAATAATTACTTTCAATCAAGCTATAATTAAACCTGCAGGCCTGGGAGTCATCTTGTCTCAGACTTTTTCACATATCATTTAGTCTTGTACATTGATTTTTAGGCCATGCCATTGCCATGATGTCTAAGCTCTTGGATGAACATCATTATAACTCCCAAATGTTGAGAACCTATTTTATAGTTGTAATAGTTACTATTTCCTCCAGGGCACTCACTTTGAACTCATATGGGACTACTAGTGATGTTTCCCATGGCTGGCCCTGAAAATTGGGAAAAAGCAAATTTGGTTCTTAGTTTCCCACCTGCCATCCACCACCTGCCACCTGTGCATACCACACTTCAGCTGCCAAGCCAAAGAAAATGCGTTGTAAAGGCACATGTGCATTCATAACATGACGTTTCTTTGGCAACCCCACTGGGTGCTCAGCCCCAGCCCAGTACAGGGTACCTGAGTGACGGTCATTGCTCCATGTTGTCAGACAAGTGGAGTGTGGGGCAGAGAGAATGGAAGTTCCTCTGGGGTGTATTAGAGTGTTTGGGTACAGAGGATCCTTCAGGTTCTGCCCGGTCTGCTGACTTCCAAACCCGATAATGGTTCCAGTGTGTTTTGCCTGCTGAAGTGACTACCCTGAGTAATTCACTCTCCATGGAACACAGTGGCAGCTTAATGGGCAGACCTCTTTGGATTTAACCAAAATCCAAATCTAAATCCAAATCTCTTTGGATTTAGACTTTGGTCTAAATCAGGCCTGTAGCATTCAAAGCCCAGAAGGATGCTGCCCTGCCCATTAAAGTATATTTCGAACAGGAGAAGGATGGTGGTTTTGAGGAGTGGGTGGTATTTATCATGTACTCTGTCTGATTGCTTTTCAACCCTACAGGTCTGGGCTCCTGCTAATTTGTGTGGCTGTCCTAGTGCCTTAAGATCCTGGAGTGAGAAGTATTATGCACTAGGTTGGAAAGGTCAACTGTGACAGAAAGAGATTCTATCCTTGTTAACATCTTGGCTTGATTAATCGCTACTGTTTCTGTCTTTTTCTGCAAGTTTGGCTCACCGGATCTTAGGTTCACCAGTTCTTTTACTTACTGAAATTTAGAAGACAGAGGCAGAAGAAGAAAATATTGTAAACTCTTTTTTTTTTTTTTTTTTTAAATAGAGACAAGGTCTCACGATGTTGCCCACGCTGGTCTCAAACTCCTGAGCTCAGGTCATCCTCCTGGCTTGGTCTAAGATTTTAAACTTTGAATTTTCACTGTTTGGGGTTCAGCACATAATTTTTTTCTATCAAAAGTATTCGGATAAGACGAAATTTATATTAGGTCTTTGTTAGATTATTTTTGATAGTTTGTTCATTCTATCATCATTCAAATATGCTGTAAATTTGTATATATGGAGATTGTTTTGTATTACAGGACTCTCCAGGCATGAATGGAGCTTATTTAGCCAATGGTATTTAGCGTTCATCCTATAATCTACACATAGATATTCAGTCATTTTATGATAACAAATCTTCTTAGGATGTGGGGTGAAAATAAACTTCATTTTTGAGGCAAATAAAACTTCAAAAACAGTTACTATGTACAGTGCTTATTAATAAACTATGATCCCTTGAGGATCCTATACTTAAATAACACCAAAAATAAGGAGGGAGGCAAATGAAAAGAAAAACGGAAATGAAGACCTGCTCCCCGCCTCAGAGTTTACTTTTTTCACTCTCCATTTCCAGGCCGGAAGCCTCAATTTTTTAATCCTGAGTTTTTAGCACCGTTTTAGTCTTCAGCACCGTTTTGCATTTCCTGGACATATATCACGCAGTGACTCACAGAGCTTGGGTGCACAGGGAAGGCACATCGAGTTGCTCTAACAGAACAAGATGACGTGATGTCACAGAGTCAGCCCCGTGTAATGCGTCATCCACACAATATTACCAAGCAGTTCTTGTCTTGATTCTTAATCTGAGAAGATGCTGCAAAATGCTGGAGGGGAAAAAAAGTCTGTCTTGTGGGATTGCCTCCCTCAGGCATATAATGAAAACTAATTTGATCTTTTGGAGGTACCTTTGCTCCCAAAGGATCCCAATGTACTCAGCCTCTGCCCCAGGAGTATTAGTCATGCATCTCGGAAATGTTGCCTCCCCTGTGCTGGAAAAGGCAGGTCCCTCTGAGGCAGCCCCCTCTGTAACAGGTTTTATTTTGAGTGGGATATTAAATAGAATTTCTAATTAGAAAGACAGGGGAAATTGTAGGGAGACAAAATAATTTCCCATGTTAGAAGTTGACCAAGACATAGTGGTTAATAATCTTCCTTTTTAAGGGGACTGTATAATTTAACGAGAATAGACCCTCCTTTATTGCAGAGGGAATAGTGTGAGTGCACAGGGACCTGAATAGGATGAAAGGGCCAGAGCCCCAGTTGGAGGAAAAGTGGACAGTAATCAATAAGGAAGAGAAGAAATCAATCAGTAGGTTGAAATGGTTGAGAATGCTGCCAGGCCATCATCTGTATGAGAATATGTGCCTGGTGTTTTAGAAATGTTTGTTAGAATTGAAATGACCATCAAAAGACAGGATACAGTTTCCTCTTGAAGCTCTTTAATTGTCCATCATATTAAAGATGAAGGTCCTTAAAGGCCATCGGCTCCATCTTCTGCATTCAGACTGAATTGTTTAAAAACTTCTCATAAAGATGAGAATCCTAGGGAAAGAACGTCACAGAACCAAAGGCTAGTGAAATATACATGAAATCCCTCAAGTTTCAACTGAAACTCTTCTTGTTTCAGTTGTTTAAATCTCA